TATTGCATAATTTCCATTATCTGGGAATTTAGTTATACCATAGCAAGTAGCAATTGCTGCTGATTTAATTTTACAATAATTTATTGCCTGCAATTAAATATAAAACCAATTAGTGTTATACAATACAGCATTATTTATTCTTGTTTTTAAATAAAAATTACCAACCTCATCAAAAAAAGCTTTTCCTGGACTACTTGAATTATTTAAACTTTTTAATACTACTTGTTGCTCTCCAAAATAACTAAATTCCTTTTTATTTTCATTGTAATCAACTATATAACCTCTTGTCCATGTAGTGGTATAAATTGAACTAAATCCACCTTCAGTTAATTTTGTCACTCCTTCAAATTGCTCAAAAGGTATCCACTCTAAAATATTTTGTGGCAAAGGTGATTTCATTTGACATTGTTGAATAAAGTTATTAACTATGTCATTTCCAGATGTCCAAGCGGTGAAAAGACTCTGTAATTGTATACTAATGCAACCTTCACAGAATCTAACAGAGTATTTTATCAATTTACACTTGTTACATTTTTTTGGTTTGCCTAATTTATGAGTTGCATTATCTAATTCAAAATTATAAATAAACCTTTCTTTACAAAATTCATTTTCATTTTCAGAAAGCTCCTTGTTTTTCTCAACTAATGAAAAAAAATAATCTTTTCTACTTTCTCTATCAGAATTAACCACTGCATTATTATACATTTCATCATTAATTTTATATACAAATCCCGCTCTTTCTGGTGATAATGATTTATCATATGACATTTTTAACTTTACTTAAAATTTATTTTAGAAAAAAGATAAATGTTGATAGAAACCAAATTTTTCCTTTTGAGACAATTTTAATAATGTAATGTACAAACTTATCAAATAGTGATTGGGTCGCTGCGCCTTGATCTAACATGGCCACCAACTTGACGCTACACTTGCTATGTACAGCCAAAACATAAACTACTGCAATAGCAATTCCCGGTTCTTTTATAAGAGAATCATTTGTTTATTTTATAACTGCAACTACGGTCATCAACCTGTGGTGTGGTTACTTGACAAGTAATTCCCTCTAAGGGCGAAAAAGAGTTTAATTAAGCCATTTTTTTTTGACCCTATCTTTCTTATAACTTCTCGCAATTATATTTATACAATGAAAATGTCAATTCGCCCTTATTATTAAAGCAAGAATGTTTATTAATGTCATGGTAGCGTGTTAAATACTATTTTGTAATGATTGATTCATTGTGATTCAACAATGAAAAAATTTAGTATCTAAAACTTTAGAACTTACAAAGGTCTGTACCTAAACCCTGTCTTATTTACTATGTAAAAGCCATTCTACATACCAACATTAATATTGACTAATCCATATGTACAACAGCTCAAGCATGTTTTAATATTGTTGTGTGTTTATTATTACGCGTATATAGTTAACTTCAAAGTCAAAAATCGAACAAAAAACGCCAAGTTTGTGTGTATGTAAAAGTTACTTTACATACATGCCTATGCGTGTTTCAAACTGTGGCGCTAAAGATAATTTGAACGCGTTTTGATTTTATGAAATGTAGTTTGTAAAAAGAAGAAAAATTTTGCATTTTTATTTTGAATGATGATAATAATAATTAGTTTCCATACAAATCCTTCATTTAAGAATTACTATTACTATTACTATGTAACGCAAATTTAATTATAATTCGTTGAAACGAGATTTGACTGTAATGAATTTATACGAAGCTAATAATTGAAACTACAGAAAAAACTCCACGAATAAATTGGACATTTTTTTTACAATAAAAATAATACTATACTAACATCATACCATTACTATATATACTCTATAAATATCCAATACTAAGTCATTCCTGTGAAATGCTTGAACTTGTAGAATGTTGAATAATTTTTGGTTACAAATTCACAAAAATGTCAAAGATACGTTTCATCATTAATTTCTTTATTAATAAAAAATATTATTAGTTATAAGTGATTTTCGATTAATTAGTAATGAAAAATTAATTCACCTTTGTTTAAGATAAGAGAGTTAAAATCAAGGTTATTTAATGAACTATCATTACTTGTATAACTTTTTAAGCTTGTTGACTTGGTAATTTCATCATCTAATATTCTACTTGTATGGTATGCTTCTGGATGTGATTTGTATACTTGTTGCGAATCACCACCACTGTCACCACCATTGCTGCTGCCGTTGCTACTATCATTATTAAAATCAATTTCATGTTTTTTAATTTTAGAAAATTTGAATAATCTTTTTATTAAACTATTATTACTACTATTATTTATTAAGCTTTCATTTTTAAAATATTCTTTATTTTTATTTTTAGCAAAGTCCAAAAGATCTCTAATAGTTGGTCTTTTTGATGGATCAATATCCCAACATTTTTGCATTATTTGTGCATAATCATCAGGCATTCCTGGCAATATTGGTGGTTGTAAACCTTCACATATATCAAAAATTAAATGATGATCATGAGCTCTATCATCAAATGGTGGATGGCCTGCAAATATTTCCCACATTAACATCCCAATACTGTAAATATCTGTTTCTTTTGTGTTCTTTGTATTATTTGTGCTGCTTAGTAGCTCAGGTGCAACATATGATACAATTCCATATATTTTATTTGATGACTTTTCATCTACTGGTCCACATAAACCCAAATCTGTAATATAACAATCACCTCCACTTATTAATATATTACCACTATTTAAATCACAATGGATTAAATCTTCTTTATGTATATCATACAATGCAACACATAACCATCTAAAAATTGCAATTCTATCTTTTAATGTCAAATTAGAATGATTTTTCTGTAAATAACCCCTTAAATTTCCTTCTGGATAATGATTTAAAACCATTGCATAATTTCCATTATCTGGGAATTTAGTTATACCATAGCAGGGAACAATCATTGGTGATTTAATTTTGCAATAATTGATTGCCTGTAATTAAATATAAAACCAATTAGTGTTATACAATACAGCATTATTTATTTTTATTTTAAATAAAATTACCAACCTCATCAAAAAATGCTTTTCCTGGATTTCCTGAATTATTTAAACTTTTTAATACTACTTTTTGAGCACCAAAATAACTAAATTCTTTTTCCTTTTCATTGTAATCAGTTATTTTTCCTCTTGTCCATGTAGCAGTATAAATTGAACTAAATCCACCTTCAGTTAATTTTTTTATGTCTTCAAATTGTTCAAGAGGCATCCATTCTAAAATATAGTCTGGTAGAGATGATTTAATTTGACATTGTTGAATAAAGTTATCAATTATGTCATTTCCAGATGTCCAAGTGGTGAAAAGACTCTGTAGTTGTAAACTAATGCAACCTTCACAGAATCTATCAGAGTATTTTGTTGATTTACACTTGACACATTCTTTTGGTTTGCCTAATTTATGAGTTGCATTTTTTAATTCAAAATTATAAATAAACTTTTCTTTACAAAATTCTTTTTCATTTTCAGAAAGCTCCTCATTTTCCTTGACTAATGAAAAAAAATAATCTTTTATATTATCTTTATCACTATTAGAATAATTAACTGCTGTATTAATAACCATTTCATTATAAATTTTAAATGTGAATTCTTTTCTTTCTAGTGATAATAATTTAATATATGACATTTTTAACTTTACTCGATAATATCTATTTTGGAAAAAGATAGAAACCGAACCTTTCCTTTTTGAGACAATTTAATAATGTACAATGAGAGCCAAAATTACTAAAATTACTATGTCGTTCGTTGTAACGCAAATTTAATTATACAAGGGTTCCTTGAAACAAGGTTTGGCTGCAATGATTTGTACGAAGCTAATAATTGAAATTGATTTGTATTTAAAAAAACCTCCACGAATAAATTGAACATTTTTTCGACTATATTGATATATTATAAATAAAAAAAAACATAGAACTAGAAATTAATGATATTTTAATTTCCTCTAAACCCCCATTAATTAAGGAACTAGGTTTTTAATTTATTATCAACAATTATTGGTAAAGTAATAATACCATACCATTACTATGTATACTCTATATTAATCTACAAAACTAAATCATTCCCGTGAAATGCTCGAACTCGTAGAAATTATTATTATGAAATGAATTTTTGGTTACAAATTCACAAAAATGTCAGATACGTTTCATCATAAAAAAGTAATACGTGTTAATTGATTTTCAAATTTTTGGAGTAGGTGAAAAGGCCATACCAATTTTTTAAAAAGCTCTCCCAAATTCAATTGGAGTTTTTGCATTTGGTAATGTAAAAAACAATGTAATTTACGCAAAAGATGCTTTGGTTGCAAGGAGGAACCAGGTAGAAATCACAAATTTAGATGGAACAATGCTAGATTGAAAAAAACAATTAATGAATTTGTCTGATGGAAGACCAAAAGGAATTGAATTAATTCTTAAATAATGAAATTATAGCCAACAACAATATTATTTCAAATTTATAATAATTGCAAAAAACACTCTCCCGTTCAAGATTTCTGTTGTACAGTTCGTATTCTTGAACTTCAATAAGATTTTTTGAATCAAAAAGCCTTTAATTCAAGAAATTCTTGAAGCCCATTGTCGTTTTAACCAAATTTTACTGCGCAATCAATTTTATGAATTCTTTTTGGAGCTGCCAAAAGGTATACTCACGAAAAGTATGACTATGCCTTTAAATCCTGTTTATATTTGCAAATCTGCACGCAGGTGCTGGAGATTTTATCGATTCTTATAGAAGGGGGAATGGATACAATAAAAATTGGGAAATTTTGGTCATTGACGCAGTAAATGGTATAGCACCATATATTATGTTGTTGAAAAATACGCATATATTAGGTACGAGTAAGCTTACTCATATATTCATTACAAATAAATATTTTATTTTATTTTTTAAAAAGCTATTCTTGATCTTTTAGATTCGTTTACAACGAAAAATTGGTATAAATAAAAATAAAAATAGGTTGGCTTGAAATTGTTGCACTTTTTTGAATATTAGATTAGATAGTTGAAATTGGAAGTGTAAGGAATAATTTGTTGGCAACGTTCAAGATACATAGCAGACTTTGCTATTATGTGTCTATTATTATAAAAAGGATAAAGTGACAGCAAGTGGCCCGGTAGAATACGTTGCCTAAATGACAATGGACTCTTAAAAGCCTCTTCCTTGTTGTTGTCGATATCATCATCTTCTTCTTCTTCACTTATAAGTCCGGATGAATAATTAGAAGGCTCATGCAAAGAGAACGTGGGCAAAGCTTGGCGCTGCAAAAAGAATTATGTAAAAGATCAAGAAGCCCAAAATAAACCATCACACTTGCGACCAGTACAATCGCAACCATCGTTATCAAATTCTACTGGATATACAAATTTTTTGTATTTCATTGTTTCTACATCAAACGAGTGATCCAATTAAATCCACATATTAAAAAGTCAATCAAAAGCTTATTTTTATTAATTTTATTCAAAACTATTGTTAATATCATTATTGTTACAATTATCAAGAAACACTCCACCAATGAAGCTTATTATTAACAGCTATCCATAAACCTTCACCTCTTTCGCCACTCTTATCATTAACACCATCCTCGTCAGAATCAGCAAAACCTGACAAATATATATTTTGGTAATAATCACAAAATCGTATAGCGTTCACTTTATCTTCAAATGGGCCAATTGGCGATCTGATAGCATTACCAGTAGATAATGAATAGAATCGAACTCGTTTATCTTGACCAGCAACGCTAACAATTGTTTCATTTGAATTTACTGCAAATCCCATTCTTATATTATTTGAATTGACATTTCCCTTGAATTCCATCACCGGAGATCGACTAGGACTTCTAGTATTGCTGTTATTTCCATTTTGATCTTTTCTGATGTCCCATAAAGAAAGCTAAAGGTAATGTAAATTAATTTACTATCGATAAATCAATGAATAAACATATGAATATAAATATAAAACATACTGAACCATCCATCCCATCAGTAATAATATACCAACTACCAATCTGTTTTAAATGACAAATTGGTGATGACTGTTTTATAACCGGACCCTCGCCATACAAAGTGTTTTTTCGATAACTACTTCTAATATCAAATATTCGAAGCTGTCCATCTCTACAACCAGCATACAATATCGAAGGCCGGTTTTTATCAAAATCCACAGAGAATACATCACTGCCTGTTTTAAATTGACTTAATCGATAAATCGGCATATCTAAACCTTGAAGTACAACAACTTTTTTTGAAGTACCTATATAATAACATTAATTAATAATATATTAAGTAATGTGTGAATATGAGAATATATATCCAAAGAAATACCTAATGCGATTGATTTGTCCAATTCAGAATAAGTTGATGTCCAAATAGTAGATTTCGAATTATATATGACATTAGGTGTCAATTCTGAAAATGGTTTACGATTATATTAAAAAATTATTCTTTATTTTATTTATTATCTTCTCATCCAATTAATGACACTCACCAATTATTGATTCATCATCGTCACTTAGTGGTATTATTCCACCAACATGTAGAACTCCAGGTGATAAATCATTTCCTAAAGATGTATATCTAAAATTTATTAATTAATTATTTTTTAAATAAAAATTTCATTAAAAAAAAAATAGCTAATTACTAATTAAATTCTTTAAACTTACATCAAAAAGTTTTTATCAAATAAATTGATAGATGTTATTTCAGATGTAAGCATAGCAATATAGGTTCTAGAAAGTTCATGACATGACTCAGAAGAACACTGAAATTTTATCTGCCTAAAAAAATCACCAAAGATTTAATAATAAAGATTATTTATTATTATTAACAGTGATATATATCTTTACCCAACTGTCCCACCAAGATTTCCTAAATATATAGTATTTCTATATTTATGAATCTTTTTAGGAAAGGAAATAAGAAAATAGGATTAGAAAAATCATATTAAATTTATTAAATCATTTTTACTTTACCTGGAAATCCGTTATATCATGATTTTGAGATGATGTTCCTTGAATTGTACTAATAGATTTTAATGAATTGACCATAGCTTCTTGACCTTTTCTACTAAAAAAAAAATTTTATTGTTAATAAATGTAAAAAAATCTCAATGAAAGACAAGTCCCACTTACTAATTATACAAATTTGATTTCATTGGTTTCAATTCACGTTCCAAAAGATAGGTTATTGTATTTTGAGGTACGTGATGATGTCGTAGCTTTTTTCTATCGTTTTTCTTTTTTTCCTGTTCTAGCTCTTTCTTCCTTTTTGAGATTGATTCTGAGCTATGTAGATGACTGCTACCAAAGTTGCTATTCGGAGATATTTTAAAATATTTGTCACGTTCTTCATCATAATAATATCCAGGAATTTCCCTTGGCAGCTTATTCGCAATTAGTGAAGAAGAACCTTCTGAACTTGATTTTTTCGCTTCATGTTTTTGATAATTATTGCTATTTTGATGATTGTGTGAATTGTGTGAATAATTGCGACGAGGCATTTTTTTTTTTTGAAAAAAGATTTTATTTACGTCGATCATTATTTTAAAATTTACGCGCGACGCAGTATTTGATGAATTTTTGATACTATTTTCTATTAAATAAAAGAATGACTACCTCTCATAGTGACTCGCCTTCTTCTTCTCACAGTGAAGAATCTAATAATGGCAAGTAAATGAAAACAACAAACTTATATTAATTAAAATGTCCTGCTCTTTACATAAAAATATTTATATTATTTGTTTATATATTTATTTGTAGAAGATACTAAAGCAGAGCGACTTGCGTTTGAAGAAAAGGTTGTGAATGAAGAATACAAGATTTGGAAGAAAAATTCCCCGTTTCTTTATGATCTGGTTATTACTCACGCACTTGACTGGCCTACGTTGACGTGTCAATGGTTTCAAGATATTGATAGGTTGATATATATACAACTATTGTACAATCATTTATAAATAATTTGTTTACAATTTATTTATTTGATTATTTTGTTTAGACCTGAAGGGAAAAATTATTCAATTCAACGAATACTGATTGGTACACATACATCAGATAATGATCAAAATTATGTACAAATTGCTCATGTACAGCTACCAAAAACTGATTCATCTATAGATGTTCAAAAATATGATGAAGAAAAAGGAGGTAATAAATTAGAAGATTATTTTTTTAATAATAGTAAGTAATAATAATTTAATTTCCTTTTTCTTCTTCTCTTCGTAATAAATAATAGAGATAGGTGGATATGGTAGTGGAGCAACAGAAAGTAAACTTACAATAGTTCAAAAGATTAACCATGATGGTGAGGTCAATAGAGCACGATACATGCCACAAAATCAAGACATAATTGCTACCAAGACAGCTAAAGGAGATGTTTATATATTTGATCGAACAAAGCATCCTTCTAAACCTGTTGCAGATGGGATAGCTCATCCAGAGTTGAAATTAAAGGGACACACGAAAGAAGGGTGAGTGTGAATTATGGTCGATATATGACGCATAATATCTTATTTTATTAATTATTATTATTTTCTCGCGCATTCTTTCTTTTACTTTTAAATTGTTATAGATATGGTTTATCGTGGAACCCTTTCAAGGATGGAAATATCATTGATGGATCTGAAGATATGACAATTTGTCATTGGTTTGTACCCCCAAAAAGAAAATATTCATTAATAACAATTTAAAGTTTCTTATTTAACAGATTTTTGTAATTTATATAATTATATACGATATAAAATATATATAGGGATATTACTGGTTATACTGTAGATACCAAAACTATGGATCCAATTCGTGTTTACAAAGGTCACGAAGCTTACGTTGAGGTAATTAGTTAATTGGATTTGTCAACCAATAAATCACCAATTTTCATATAATATAATTATAACACATGTTAATACACGATAAATATTTAGGACGTTGCATGGCATCCAATTAATTCAAGCATATTTGCTTCTGTTGGCGATGATCAAAAACTCCTTGTGTAAGATTGATTTATTATATATTGTATTTTGGTATTCCATATAATGCAATTAATTATACGTAAATGATTTTTATAGCTGGGATATACGTTCAGATAAAGATGATAAACCGGCAAATTCAATTATTGCACATCAAAGTGAAGTCAACACATTGTCATTCAATCCGAAGAATGAATATATTTTAGTGACTGGTGCTAACGATAATGTACATATTAATAATAATAATAATCATTATCATTATTATTAGTCTCATAATTTCTACTTTATATATAGACGATTAATTTATGGGATCTTCGTAATCTTAAATTGAAACTTCATACACTTGAACATCATAAATCAGAAATCGTTCAAGTTGAATGGTCACCACATGATGAAACCATTTTGGCTTCTGCATCTGGTGATAGAAGAGTTTGTATTTGGGATTTAAGTAGAATCGGTGCTGAACAAACTGCTGAAGATGCTGAAGATGGACCTCCGGAATTATTGGTATGTATATGGCTAAAATAAATATTAAATTGTAGTTCAATTTTATTATTAAAAGGAAACATATTCTAACTGAAATAAATAAATTAATATTAGTATATGCATGGTGGACATACAAATAAGATTTCTGATTTTAGTTGGAATCCACATATACCATGGGTTATTGCTAGTTCTGCAGAAGACAATATCATTCAAGTTTGGCAACCGGTAAATAATATTGCAATTTAATTAATTAATTGTTTATTGTTTTATTATCACATTTTACTAACATTAATTTTGTTTTGTTGTTTTTTATAGTCATCAAATATTTATTCAATTGACGAGAGAGAAATTCCACCTGAAGAATTAGAGGATTAGAATATTAATTATATACATTTTTAATAATTATAATATAATAATATTATTAGCAGCAATACAATATAGAAAGTAATTTGTTGCCAAATAATGATAATAATTACTAACAATTTCTTTGTAAATAATAAAGTCCATCTTTAAATGTAGTTAGAAGGTTTTATTGTTGTTATTTTTGTTGATTAATTATTAATTATAAATATATTTTACTTTCGCTTCTTTATATATTCCTAGGACTTGATCGAAGTTTTTTCACTTCTGGTGAATTATTATCATTACCATTACTATTATTATAATAATAATTAAATGATGTTGTCAATCTGTTGCTACGTCTTTTTTTTCGCCTATTATTAATATTATTATAGGTACTTAATCTACTATTAATATTAATATTATAACTATTCTTTGCGCTATCTAAATTTTTGTCTTCTAATTCAATAGCCTATAATTCATAAAATTAATGTTAATATCATAACCATAATCATGTATATATATATACACACATATGCAGATATATTTAGCCTACCTTTTCATAAGTAGCACTTGATTTTGAAAATAATCGATCCTCTTCGTTTATTTCAATCTTATTATTTTGATCTTGACTATTTTTATAATAACAATCAAACCCACGAATAAGATTACCACCAGAATGTGTTTCTTCTAAATATGATCCTTCAAACTTATAAATACTTTTTTCAATTGTTATCTATGTCAACAAAAGATTAATATTAATATAATTACAACTATAATTATAATTACCATCATTAATAATAATATATGATATATACTAAATTAATATCTGTCTGTTTCTTTTGTTTCAACATTTCTGAAAGTTTAGCTCGAACTTCTTTATATTTTTTTTGTCTAACAACTGTTGTTGGCTAAAATTTAAAAGTAAAATTTTAATTAAACATTCAAGCCTTTTTATTTTTAAAAAAATGAACATATTTAATTACCGAATTGTCACAAGCATCTTGCATATTAATATTAATATTTCTAATTATCGAATTGTCACTGACATCTGGCATATTTCTTCTGTATTAGTATTTACTATTTATACAATTATAAAAAATTTTACTTTTTGGTAAATTAATTTTTAAAGATACTTTTTGTCACACAGCCATATATCAAAAAAAAAAAAATGAATTTTTTAATATTAAGATTACGAAATGACTTTTTATCATCACAAAACAAATTTTTTTATAAATTGAATAATTTTTCATTGCAAAATTTATCTAAAAAGAAAAAATTTTCAAATAATTCATTGAAAATATCAGAGTTATCGTTACCATATTTTGATTACTCTAAATTACAAAAAAAAAATTCATCGTTTTCAATTGACGAAGATTTCATTTTATTTCCAAATCATTTAAATGAATCAGAACAATCTTTTCTTGTGGAAAAATCATCAAAGAAATTGAAAAGAGCGTTTGGTAAAGAAGTTGTCTATCAAGATGCTCACTTTGATGATGTTATCCATGGTTATAGAGAATGTCAAGCCACTCATTGGTCTACTGATACTGCTACAAATGGCAAAGATGAGGAAGAAGATAAAGTAAATGAGTTATTTAAAAAAAAGTTTTATGATTTGTTTTCAAATGAAAATATCAAATGGTTGCCAATACATATTTTAGAATTGGCCGATTATGGTGGCATAAAACCTCATTTAGACAATATAGAGGCAAGTATTAATATTATAATAAAGGATATTAATAATAATAAAATAGCAAGCAACAATAATAACATTTTTTAAAAAAACTTAGTACTCTGGTGGAATTGTGGCAGGAATATCTTTAATTTCTTCAACTGTGATGATTTTTCGACATAAAGATGATCCAGAAATTCAATTTTCTGTTTTATTAGAACCAGGAAGTTTATACGTTCAACGGTAATATAGATAAATATGTGCGGTGCATACATAATGATACTGTACGTTAATTAATTATTTATTACTTTCTCATTTTCAACAAATAAAGTGACTCGATCAGGTATAATTTCACTCATGAAATTCCTCAAGACCCAAATGAACATAGATTCAAGGGTCAATTGATACCCAAGAAACGTAGAATCTCATTAATGTTCAGGGTTAGTAACATGAATAAATTTTTTTACAATTATTATTATAATAATATTAATAACTATAAATTACTTGTAAACTATTTTATATTAAAGGATCATTATTCTCCTTCTTCCACAAACTTTAAAAATAAAAAATAAATAAATAAATAAATGTCGTAAGGTGAGATATAAAATTTAACGCGTTTCTTTGTATTTGTAAACTTTTTTTTTTTCGTCACAAATGAACAAAAACATTCCATATGGTGTTGTCATTCAGAATTCTTTTTAGTCTGTGTAACATTCCTTGTTTGAAACTTGTTCATTCATTGTCCGTCGCAAAAAAAAATTATTTTCCAAAGAGTTTTCCAAAAAGTTTATAACGTAATCACAAATAAATGCTAGTAAACTCAATCGTTATAAGTATTATTGTAGGAAAGGAAAATCCTTTATTTATAATCCTTTATTAGCATTATGTATAACGTTAGTTAATTTATAAAAAGTGTAACATTAAAAATGTATATAAATAATATATTTTGCAGATAAGATTTTATCCAAAAAAAAATTTAATTTATTTGTTCGAAGAAAAGAATTCATCATGGATATAGTCGGACTTTGTTTCCCATTAATTGGCATAGCTACAAAACTTGCAAGAGATGCTTATAAAGCTTCTGAAGAAGCACGTTATACCAAGAAAATATGTCTATCGTTATCTGATAGACTGGAAGCAGGATCACGTGCTTTGGAAGATTTATATAGACATCGAGAAGAAAATATTGATGTATTTGTAAACAATGAATTCTTTAAAAATCTTCAACGTTATGTAAATGCAGCAACGGAAATTAAAAGATTTATTGACGAGATCTCAGAATTAAGTGGAGCAATGAAATATATTAATGCAAAATCTCGTAAAGAAAAGGTTGAACAGCTTATCACAAGGTATGATAGAATTATCCTTGATTTAAATTTGGATGTAAATACCAAAAGTTTCAAGAAAATTTCAGAAGTACAAAGTTTAATAGAAAAAGAATTTGAAAAAATGTCTTCGGTAAATATAAATAATCTGTATATTGTTTTGTATAATATTTATTATTCATTCTAAATCATCATCAAACACTACATACAATATAGGCTGTAGAAACAATGGCAGCTAGCTTGACGACTCAAGAAAGAGATATTAAGATTATAATGGACACTTTATCGTCAATGAGGAGTGCTAATAATAATCCAACACCTGAAATCAAAAAAATCAGATCTGATAGATTAACAGACCCAGATCCATCAAGTCAACCCATAAAACGTGGAAAAGTTTTTAAAAAAGTATTGAATAGGGCTCAAGAAGTAGCATGTAAACCATTTACAGATGAAGAACATGAAGAAGAAGATTTTCGTACCTATTTAGCAATTTTAGGGAAATTAGACTCATCAAGCTGTATAATAAAGTTTCATGGTATAGCATTTGCTGATGGACATAGAGTAATGGTGTTTGATTGGGCTAATATGGGCAATTTAAAAGATATTTATGAAAAATTTAAAATTACTTGGGAACAAAAATTAAAAATTGTTTACGATGTTTGTTCTGGACTTACATTCTTACATGCGTGTACAATTTATCATCATGACGTTAGGTGTGAAAATATTTTGGTGAGTAATAAAATAATAATAAATAACAATAATAATAGCATATTAATGAATGAATTAATTATTTATTTGTTTATTTATTAATAAATTATTGATAATAGCTTATGGGTAATCTTGAGACAGCGAAAATTGCAAATTTTACTCTAAGTAGAGATTATGAAACTAAAAGTAGACGAATTGTATCAGTAAATGAACTTATACCCTGGATGGCTCCCGAGAAACTGAAGGATCTTGTGAAGACTAGATATACATTAAAATGTGAAATCTTTAGGTGAATAAATAACAAAGTACATCTAATTTTATTTATTTATTAATCGAGTACTGATCGCTGACTTTGGTTTTAAATCATTTTAGTTTTGGTATGTTTGTTTGGGAATTATCATTTAATCAGGTTCCATATCTTAGAAAATTTGAGAATGATTGTGTAAAAATTTCTCAACACGTTAGGAATGGCAAACGAGAAGATTTAAAAAAATACAATCACTTTCATGATATTCAACGATGTTTCAAAAGCATAGTGTCAAACGGTTTGTTATAATTTAATTATTTTTACTATCAATAAATAATTATATTTATTAAATCGTTCCTTTAAAATAGCCTGGCTTCAAGAACCTACACTTCGTCCAGATATGCACACTTTTCTTACACAATTGGCTAATTTACACAAACTTTATTGTTCACCAAGAATTATACCACATGATAAAAGCCAAAATTCCAATAATACTGGTGATGATATTGTTGATCCCGATCTTGATATTGATCTAGATACATTGTCTTTAGCGGATACTGCAGTAAGGTTAACATTAGATGAAGGTATAAGACTTCACAAAGATCAAAGTGAAAGCTCAAGAAGATTTGCATGGCAATGCTTCAAATATCATGCTGATGTATTGGACGATCCTAGAGCAAAATATTGGAAAGGGTATTATTTATTGGAGGGATATGGTGGAGTTGAGAAAGATGAGGAAGAAGCATCCAAATGTTTCAAGGAAGCTGCAGACCAAGATATTGCTGATGCTCAAGTTCGTTATGCATTCACTATTGTAACTAAAGCTAAAGATGATCCTTTAATGGCTACTGAATTTATGAAATACTTGGAAAAAGCTGCATTTCATGAAAATCCGACTGCTTTATACAACTTGGGAAGCATCTATTATGAAGGCAAATTGAATTTACAAGTAGATCATAAACTAGGAATAAAATTTTATAAGAAAGCAGCATTAAAAGGTCATGATAAATCAATTCAAAGATTAAGTAGTTTAAAAATAAGTGTTTATGATGATTAAAATTGTTAATATTATTCTTTGAACTTATTCTGTATTAATTTATTTTTAGTAATTTGTATTTTATTTATTTATTTATTTATTTGTTGATTTTAACGTTATATGACAATAAATTAAAAAAAAAAAATCAAATTTAAGTGTGCGAGTTGTGTGGATTGAACACACGGCCTTCAGATCTTCAGTCTGACGCTCTCCCAACTGAGCTAAACTCGCAAATCACTTGATCTATATGGATTTTAGAAATACTTGAAATAAACATCACAAAAGAAATTTAAGGTTCATCAAAAAATCACCCCATAAAAATGAAGCTTGATAATTACCGTCAAAACAGAAAAATTATCACCGAAATCCCGATCAAAATATTAAAAACTCAGGAACCGGCATTTTCCATTATAGAATAAAGAAAGTTATATACTTGTAATAGTTAGCCCGCAGAATGGCCCTGTTGTGGGGCAGGACCTCGGATTATCATAATCCAATTTTGATGAAATTTATGTTAAAGTAAAAAATTTTAAAATGGAAAAAGCAGGCATATCATAGCCCTGTTTGGGAAATCACATCACTCTTCAGTATCACAAAAAACTTTGAGTATCACATTTCCAGAATAATTAAAAAATATCATTAAACTTTTTGCCGAAGGTCAAGAATTTTTCTTATTATTATAGAATTTCTATTTGAATAATGCATGTCTCAATTATTTGTTATCCAAACAAATTAATCATTCAATGTAACTTGAATATTCAAAATTAATTCAAATAAAATAACCTTTATTTGAACAGAAACTTTAAAGCAATAAATTACAAGTGACATCAGTGACGGAGTCATTATCATGAATCATATTTCTAGCATAACAATAAAATTACTTTGTTGATTTTATAATTAAAATTTTTTGTTATAGATAACTAGATTTATTTACTATGATTGAAGTTTAGGAGTAGTAATTAAATTATAATTTATCATCATCATCATTATCTTATATTTGCCCTATTACTATGAAAAATAAAATACGGAATTAACGTATGTCAAATTCGTTCTTAAAAATAATTTTTTTAATTAATATCCTAATACGGTTTTGAAAATTGCCTTTTTCAAATTTAGTGTGAAATCCGGAATTGGTACGGAGTCTGTATGAATTTGTAACACATTGAAAAGGTACGTGTATAAGGTACGGAATTTGTAACATACTAATATTGAAAAGATACCTTTTCGATTTCACATATAAGGCACGGAATTTGTAACAGTATTTTTTGATTCTGCGCATAAAGCACGGAATTTGTAACATAACTTAATTATAATACTGAAAAGGTTTTCGATTCCGCATATAAGGTACGGAATTTGTAACTTACTGAAAGGTATCATATAAAGAATACGTTTATTTTATTCATTATAAAACATATAGTAATAGTATTTTGTTAATATATGTCATCATCGTAATAACGTAATTAGTTTCAGTTTTTCTGTTAATTTTTGTCATTTCTCAATTTGCAGATCTCAATTGTACAGTCAAACCTCGATAAGCCGAATCACAAAAATATGATCGGCTTATCAAAATTCGGTTTATGAAAAACGATTTTTATTGTTCAAATAAAAAGTATAAAATAATAAATTTATTTGTGAAAGATTAGGGCGATTGATAGCGTGGAGTAAACCAAATTTTATCATTATAAGACGAATTTTAAAACCAGTTTATAATCATCGACTGTTTTCACAAATATTCGGCTTAGAAAGTTGCATTTTTATTAACGTTAGGTTCGGTTTATCAAGTAGGGTGGGGTTATAATTAATAAAATTCGGCTTAATGAAATAATTTTTTTATTAAACATGATTTGGTTAACTAATTTTTGATCGTTATAAAGCGAAATCGGTTTGTAGTAGTTCGGTTTATTGAGGTTTGACTGTACTTTGAATTTTTTAAAAACATTTTTTTACTCGAAGTTTCTTTTATATATTTAATATGTAGTATGGTTTAGATAATTCGAATAGAGAGCTGTATGGAACCAGTAAAAGCGGAAAACACAGCTATTTTAAACAAAAAAAAAAAATGATGCAATAAAAATCGATATACAAAAAATGGTTTTTGTTTAAAAAATGATGTAAAAAAACAATATATTGTCACCGATTAAATTTGGGAGAGCGTATTTTTAATTGGTGATTACAATTATTTTTGTTTTGTGTGGATCAGAATGAATAGGGATCAACGAATTGATTTTGTTATTAGCGAATAATTTTGGGTAAAGAAGATAAAAATTTTCAAAATATTTATTATTTTATTTATTTATTTAGTTTCTCTTAGTCGAAACTAATTAACTTATTACAAAGTTATTTTCACAGTAGGTCAAATTCGAGTTCTTTATATACATGTTAATTAATTATAAACCCGTATGGGTTCGCACGCTCGTTTAGGTTCATGAGCCCATATGGGCACATTGTCACTAATTTCTACTAAATACAGTGAACCCTTGTTTCAACGAAATATAATTAAATTTTTGATACAACGAATTTTTAAAAACGTTGTTACACATGAAAACACAAAAATTCGTTGAAACGCGATTAGTAAACCTTGTTTCAACGAATATTGAATAAAATTTTCTTATATGTCCAGCCACTTCGTTGAAACAAGGGCAGACTGTATAGTTAAATAAATCAAATAAATATTAACATGTTACGATTAATTAATAAGAATAAAAAAAAATGATTATATGAATCGTAACACAGGTATAAACAATAATAACAATGATAAATACAAAAATAAATAAATGAAATTAAAAATAAATAATAAATAAAAATAGAATTAGAATTAATTTGACCCGGAATTACAAGATTCGTCCAAAATATCTTCGTCAGAATCTAATTCCGGTAACATGCTTTATTTTCTACATATTTAAACAACGGATCGATATGGATCTTGATTTATTGAAGGAGAAACAAAAAAACAAATCTAAAAAATTGATAATAAATTCGAAGAAATTGATAATAAAATTGATGAGCTTTATAATAAAATTGAAGAATTTAATAATAAAATAGACGAACTTTCCAAAAAAATTTCTTTGCTCAATGAAGAGATTCAACAAAGATTCCAAGAAGAAGATACCCTAATAATAGTTCAAGCAGTTCTCAAGGTAAGATTATTTCAATGCATAAATATCTGTTATCATTGGTGAGATGCCCATAGTAAATCAAATATTTTTGTATCATTTCAGCTTCAAGACAAACTTCAGATGAACTTGTGCAAAAATTCAAGAAGCTTTTCAACAAAACTATGCGAGAAAAGAATCATACTAAATCAGAAATGATTAATGAAATTATAGCCGATCTAAAAAATGAAGCAGGATAAAACTTCTTGGATCCAAGGCTATTGAAAATTATTATAACCAAATGACAAAAAGTTGACACCAGGGTTGTAGGAGCAATCAATTCTTGGACCGTACTCAAAAGTAAAGAAAAAAAAAATCTGTATTTAACAATAATAACAATGATAATTATAATGGTGATTACAATGAAGAAATAGATAACAATAGTAATAAATAGTTTTCACCTGGTAGAGCCAAAGTAAAGGGGCATATATTAAATGGTCTAGGGGCCGCATGTTTTCTCCCTTGCAAGTTCGCGTTTATTCCTTTTTTCTCTATTATTCTTACATATCAAATAAAATATGAAAATTAGCCAATAATCTAAATAATCTATCTACTATTTCTTGATTGATTAAATATAATTGTCAATATCTATACCGATATCTGTCTCTTTGAGAAGGCATTTGACTTACCTCCAATGTATTCTCTGACCATAGCTTCATTCCAAAATTTAGAGGGAAGTCCATGAATATATGAGTCAAAGTCTCTATGCTCTGCATATTCTACAAAACTTTTCTTCGATGCAAGTATAAATTAGTTGGGTACCTTTCCATATTTTCTAATATGTATATTGGATCAAAGATTCAACGTTGTTGAGATGTAAAGAGAAATCCAAATTGGATAAGATCAGATAATTAATATGTTGTACAACATGGAAGGTCATGGAAAGATTATTATAATTACCTCATCAGGAATTTTAAATAAGTAAATCAATGGTGATCCATCTCCCTCATTTAATAATTGTCTTAGCAATTTTTTTTTTTAATTCGGGAATCATGGAATATTCTCTTGACCAATACTTCAAGGAAACTGCACCAAAGGACTATCAGTTTCTTGGTTATTACCAATATCGTAAAAGCCAAAAAGATTTTACAAATAATTTTTGTTTAGAGGCACGAAGACTCAACAAATGCTTGGAATATCTGGTGGAATGTGGATCGACTCTAGAGAAACAAATGGCTTAATGTTTGTACAATGTTTTAAGGCAAGTATCTTTTCATTTTAATCATCACTTGCAGGCAGACCACTGGCAGACAGTATGGAGGGCCCTGTTAAGTCTCGAGAAGGGAAACATCTTCCACAACTACGGTAGGCGCCTGCGTCCCGCTCACTTTATGGCGTTCATTAGATCCCGTTGTGGTCTACAAGCTTGGCTGTATCATATGCCTCTTTTGTAGAGGTGGGGTTCTCCAGTAGTCCTGAAAAGGGGTAACACTCACACAACTATGGCAGGTGCCTGCGTCCCACCTGACCTTATGGTGTTCATTAGATCCTGTTGTGGTCTGTTTTGCCAGTGGGTTTTTAATAGACAAAGATGGTAACAAAATTGTATATTATTTTTGTAGGATCATTGAAGCAAGAATATAGATATCAATAAATTCTGGAATGAAATCAAATGTGAATCTTTGGACATAGAATATGGCAAAGAAAAAAGGTGACTTCGATTGGACCAGGTCAATAATTTTTTACCTACCCTGATATTATATGTTGTATGGCTAATGATTGTTCTGAATTATAGGTGAGGTAGCCCATATTATGACACAGGGGACTGAAGAAGGTGTTGGAACAATTATGAGGAATGTTAATATGAAGCTGGTATGATTTACATTGTCAACGTCATTGGGTAAAAAGTGACCTAACTAATTCAACATCAAATTTATCTAGGATGAGTCAGTTCCTGCTTAATAAAATTTATAAAAAATTCACACCAGAACAACAGATATTATTAGATTCGAATTCTGAAGTAATGTTCAGAAAAGTAGTCAAGATGGCAATGAATGGATCATGTTTAAGACTAGTGCTGTAAATTATGATGATGGTAATAATTGTATTCATGGCATATACATCAGGAAATTTTTCTGACACAAATTTGCATAATATTACGGGGCCCGCCATAAACTTACGTAAATAGTGTAATATTATGCAAAAATTATGCAAAAATTACGCAATTATTACATTCAGTGTAAATATTATGTCTTTTTATGCGTAATATTACGACATTTCATATTAAAACTTACAGATGTAATATTATGGCGGGAAAAGTTTCCTGATGTAAAAAGTGGTTGCAATTACCTTTGCAACCACTTTTGCAACCATACTTTTTCCTTTTTTGGATTACAGCACTAGTCTTTAGATCACATGATAATGCCATCAATTGGCTATGTGGAAAAACGAGCAGTCTTTAAGAAGGGATTTGGGTTTTGTTGTCTTGGACTGCTTGATAACATTACTTACTTCAAAGATAAGAAATAGACGCAGTGAGATAACACATTATACCAATCTCCTTGACTGCATTATGAAAGGACTTTTCGATGACCCTGACAAACACATAGTACAATGGCCAAATACAGCTTTAAATGAATCCAAAGCAAGAAGATTTGAAGGTCAGATTAAGCAACCAGACTTTGCTGTTTCCATTATCTGTCAATTACAGACCAATGCCACCATATTTGAGGTGAGGTTAGTCCTCCATCAAACAAAGGAGATGTTTACAAAAACTGTAACAATCTTATCTGCTTGAGTATATTCATGAAAGACAACCCTGATTCATCAATTGACAAAGGTGTGGATATAAAGGTGTTGGGCTTCCAATGTGTCGGTAAGGAAAGTTATTATGAATGTTTCTTTTTCTCTTACATAATTCCTTTAATCACTTTTTAAACATTTGCTTTATAGATTATAAAATTGACTATTACACCATGGACCTTGTTCAAGGAATATACACCATGGTTCACATTGGACAAGTGTTAATTCCAGCTAAAGACTAGTGTCGTAAATTATGGTGATGGTAGTAATTGTATTTACAGCATATAAAAAGTGGTTGCAATTACCTTTGCAACCATTTTTGCAACCATACTATTTCCTTTTTGGATTATCGTACTAGACTTTAATTCCAGCATCATTAAAGGTTATGTTATCTTTTGAGATGATATAGAATTATCTTTAAAAGTACAAGATATTTTTCATAAATCTTTTGAAATTTTCTATACTAAGCTTTGTAATCCAGGTTAAAGACTAGTGCTGTAAATTATGATTATGGTAGTAATTGTATTTATGGCATATAAAAAGTGGTCGCAATTACCTTTGTGACCACTTTTGCAACCATACTTTTTCCTTTTTTGGATTATGGCACTAGTCTTTAATCCAGGTGATCCAGAATCATTGACAACAAAAGCAATATTCAAACAAGACACCCTTGGCACTCCCAAGTTTAAAAACTGGTGAGCAAATCACACAATGTTAATAGAAGCTGTTCATTTTGGTTTGGATTTTTAGTATATGTATACTTCTGATTAATAGATTTTTTTTGTATATAACTTTTCATTATTTTCCTGCTAAATGACAATTTACAATATTTGTATTATCTAGCCATAGTGTAACACATAATCAAAAATTAATAATATTGAATGTTATACTTTTTATTAATGTTTTACTTGATGTACATAGAAAATAAAATTTCAGAACCAGCATTATTGAGAATGATTGAATCAATATTATTCGCTTCTAGATATCTACATACCTCTTCATAGTCAAATACCACCTCTGTATATTGTGTCTTCCTGTTTATGATAATTATATACGCACTAACAAATTTCTATATATATGAATACAAAGTCAAAATTTGACTTTAAGGCTGAGATTATTTTTGGTTTTATTAACAACTTGCTTCAAAAAATTTTTTAAAGCAGGTACATATGACAAAGAAGTTATATATCAAATTTGGTGGCAATTGCTACACAGCAAGGGTATAAAACGAGGGTATGAAGACATTCAATTCGAAATTTTATTAATAAAAAATTGTGTAGATCACCGGAAATTTTTCGGAAATAAACTTGCCCCTTGATTTTTAGGACATGTCACATGACTAATACATGTAAATCATTTCCGATTTATATGTTCATTTTCCGTGATCTATAATTTACTATTTTACAATGTACTATGCCAAAGGTCTATCATTAATAAATAAATTTCTTTATTGTTAATTATTATTCTCCAATTCTTTGTATTCATAATTATCAAACAATAAATTAACTATTATTATTATTATTATTATTATTATTTTGAAATTTTGACCATGTAATTTTAAAATTTTAAATAAACTAATAACCTTATAAATCAGTCCCTTATAATTAAAAGCAAAATTTTTCTAACACAACCTTCCAAATAGTTATAAGTGACTTTGTAGGTAACACTTTGGCACAACTATTGCTGCTGAATTTGCTTTAGTCTGCATACTAATTGAGCAATAATCTTAAAATAAGTGTGAAGAAAAGAAATGCTTTCGACCTGGCATAGAATTAAGGTTGTGGGCGAAACCTCTTAATGACTGTCGAAACTCTGTCGAAACTCTAATGAACAATTAATGTGTAACCTGTTGAAACTCTGATGATTGGTGAAAACCCCAAATGCGAAACTCTGCCGAAACTCTAATAAACAATTAATGTGTAACCTGTCAAAACTCTGTCGATTGATTTCTGGAGGAGTTTCTCCCACAACCTTACATAGAATAACCAATATTTAAGCTAGTCTTTTCTTTTAACTGTTGTTAAAAGCCCCAGTCTGGCTCAAAAAATTTATTATGGTTGAAATCGCTTGCTATATGAAAAACAGAGATTTTTTTTGAAGTGGACGATAATATTTTATTCGTGTAACGTTTATATTGAATGACACTTAGGTTTATGTCACGTCAGGCGACGAATAATCTTTTCATAATTGATCCGTGACGATTAATTACTAAATTATAAGTGACAATTAACTTGTCTTGTTTTGGCAATATAAATGTCACCTGTAATTTAGTATATTAATCGTCACGGATCAATTATAAAAATATTATTCGTCGCCTGATCTGACATAAACCGTCCCCATCCCTAATGACACTTGATCTGCAATGTCCCGCGACTACTATCGTAAAGTCTGGAAAGATATGGTGTGTATCACCTATACTCATCAAAAATTTTCATGTGACTTCTAACTGTATCTAGTCCACCAATTTTAAAATTTTTTAAAAAATAAACAGTGCAAATATTACTTTAATTGATTCTCTTTCAATTCCATGGATTAAATTTTTTAATTGCCTAATTTTTTGGGGAGCTGATAGTGTTTAAAAATAGTCAATTTTATTAATAAATTTCAAATTTCGGAAGCCGATCATTACCAATCAGAATCCATTTGTTGTTCATTTTATCACGTGAAAATTTCTGGCCAATGAATAAATATTTTTAATGAAACACATACGAGTAAAATCTTTAATATTAATTGTAACACATACACAAAATCTTTTGTTTCATATTAATTATTACAGATAAACAAAAAATGCCACCTCTTCCTAAAAGAAAAAGACAATTTAAAGATCAACCAAGAGATGCAGAAGGTAAATACTTATTAAAAAGGGTATGTAATGTTAATAATAAAGTTGATGAAACAAGGCAGAAGGAAAAGCTGAAAGAGAAAGAATTGGATAAATTGGATGTTACTAATATTAATGAAAAATTGAATAATGAGAATGATGGTTGGGATAATACAGGGAAACATGCTAATGATCTAGTTGATGATGGAGATGA